TTTGTTATGTAATATATTGCAGTCTTATGGATCTGAATATCCAATTTGATTTCGTAAACAATACAAATTGAGGTGTCTCGTTGCATCGAAACTAATCTGCAAATAGACCTTGCTCCGAATTACAAGAGTTCAACGTTACTCGGTCAATTGTCAACTGGAATGAAATGCGACATTGAACGCCTTGCAGCTAAAGAAATTCAAGATCTAAATTAAGAGATGTATGCAATAACAAGATAAATAAAACATTCAGAGTAAAATATCAAAAGTAGCTATTACAATGATACACTATATTTCAATGTTGAGTAATAGTAAAAAAATAGCAGTATTATATTATATATTTTTTAAACAAGTGAGACAGAGGAAAGCCAAGGTTATAAACATCATATCTTACTATGAAAACTTTAATGGTTGGATGGATGTTTATTAGTAGGTATCAGCAGAACGGCTCAAGGGATCTCAGCGAAATTTGGCACGGATGTAGAACATAGTCTGGAAGAGCACATAGACTCCTAAGTTTTTTTAATCGCGGACGGAGTCTTGATCTACAGCAATTTTATAATTTTAGCATGAAATGAAGTTGTTTAGTGAGCGAAAAACAATTCAGAGGAAAATAAAGGGGCATACGCAATGCACGCATACGCAAAATAATTAATGTTAATGAACGAACAACTGACAATCCAATCGCATACACGCACGCGTAACTCCCCTCATATAAAGGGTGTACAAAATCGATAAATTGTGGAATACTGACACTTTTTTTAATATCTGCTGAGCGTAAGTTACTAGATTTTAAAAGAGTATACTTTACAATGAACTAGCTGCCGCCTGCAACTCCGTCCGCGCGCAATAAAAAAATATAGCCTATGTGTTCTTCCAGACTATGTTCTATATCATCAAGATCCGGTGAGCTGTTCCGGAGATACCTTCAAACAAACATCCATCCATCCATCCAAACATTTGCATTTATAATGCTAGTAAGACAGTTAAATTAACTACTTATAGAATTAAATTGATCTATCGAACAATGTAAAATCGCCGACCATACCATCGATTACATTCACGCGAACACGCGCAGAATTTACAATCAAGATTATGCAAAAAAAAAATCAACAGTTCAACGTAATGAACTGCAGTTGAAAGAATAAATCCACCACGACTTTACACCCAATGGACAGAGACAGACGTCTAAAGTTTAAGTGAGAAAGAGACAGCAAATTGTATTGGAAATAATTAAATGATCCACATAAGTGTAGATTTAGTTTGAGAAACGTACACTAAGTGGCGCCCTTGTATGACTTACACTGATAACATCAACATATTGCAGATATTTTCTAACTGCTGAAAACCAAATCCAGTAAGTACGCTAGTTAACATTTCTCTCATCACTAAGTTTAGTAGCATTTTAAAAACATTCACAGAAAAGATATCTCATACTATGTAAGCTAAGAAACAATAGCATATTGTACAAAAAGACGTGAGCGTTGCATAAACCGCCGCTTCTAAATACATTTTACAACACACGTAATAAAGCAAGTCGAGACACAATACAACGCGGGACACGCTCCATTCTCACCTTCATTCAAATCCATCCACTGGACTCAAATATTACAATAAGAACCCTTCACTAATGAACAATTAAGTGAGAGTTGACAGTATCTCACACATGAAAAATAAAACATTTTTGCCATCGAGTATTAATTAGTAAAGTTCATAAGCCTGGTTTACTCTAAGCCAGTACAGTAAGACAGTGGCGCACGAAATCTGCGCTGTAGTACAAATGGCATAATAAAAACAATAACTGGCGTCAGAGAATGCATAAAATACATGCCAGACCAGCGTTACTGTCCTATCGTACTGACATAATGTAAACCGGCGTTATATCATCAAGGAAATCTTGAGGAAATTATAGTACTGGACTGAATTTAAAAGAACTGGACCACGGGACATTGCAATTAATGAGCATATTTTTGTTATAAGAGGTAAACACAAACAAGGCAGGTTTGGTTAAACACAGCTTAAATATTGACTAGACATGGTGGTAAGAAATGCTGAGAAGTTTAACATTTTTTAGGTATTCTATATTTCAGGAATGTTATTCAGTGATAGTGACAACTTATTAATTCCGCAAGATCAGTTAATTACATTCGTGCGAGCGAGCGCGCCCGATGACCTCACCTTTGTAACCGAGGAAATGGGATAGTGGATGTTAACTGGACTGAGAATATTGGGTTAGAAGTTTCTTGACATTTTTTATGATGACACAATATAGATTCACAATACTCAAAGTGAAATCAGTATGAAAATGTTTACTTTACTCTACTCGTTTATCGGAGGTTCCTATTGGTTTCATCATTCTGCTTCTATGTAAGATAATCTTACTAATATTATAAATGCGAATGTTTAGATGTTTATTTCAAGGTATCTCCAGAACCGCTGTACGGATCTCGATGAAATTTAGCATATATATAGAACATAGTCATTAACAACACATGGGCTACTAATAATGTTTTTAATTTAGCGCGGACGGAGTTGCGGGCGACGGCCCGTATATCAATAACGTAAATCAAAAGTTTTAGAATCACCTAAACTTTGTTCTTTACGTGATTTATATAATACTCATATAGGCTAACTCTACCAAAGTGCACCTTTTAGGGTTCCGTACCTCAAAGGAAAAAAACTGAACCCTTATAGGATCAATTTGTTGTCCATCCGTCCGTCTGTCAAGACCATTTTTTCTGTAATAAGTTTGTTGAGGGGTTGACTTTCATACGAATAATAATAATAATAATAATAAAGCCATTTATTTCCTTACAGATAAATCATACAATAAAATTTATAACTACTTTTTTTTTTTTTCATACGAATACGAAAATATAATTGTAGCATGGAACGTGATACAATAATTATCCAAATCTAAATAAAGGGACGTGTAATAAATATGAAAGATCGACGGCGTGCCTCGTAAAGTATCCATTGAGGTTGCGTCGTCGATGTATGTCAAGTGCATTCGGCGGACACCCGTGACTCAGTTTACAACGCGAGTGCGTTTGAGCGAGACTTCAAATAAAATATCTATACTGAGAATATTTTTAATAAATAATATTTTAAAGCCAAACAACATCGTTGACTGTATGGTTACAACAGTAAACTTAAATCATTAAAAAGACTTTCGGAGCTCAAAACATTATGTTAACGGGATCCAATCACTAAATTCCATGTCTTACTGTGGGTTTCTAAGACCAAAATCCACGTTTAAAACATACTGTTATCTCTGTTTTGTCAAAGATGATGACAAAGAAGACGATATGTTTTATACAGAGACTTTGGTCCGAAATCAATGGTGAGTTTACTTCCCCTTTTAAGACATTATGCTGAAGTTATTTTATGTTTAACTAAGACAGTCCGACGAAGCATACCAATCCCAATCAAACATCATTACTTCATTTCTTACCATAAAACAATTTAGACTAGATAAGTTAACAATGAAACGACCATAATGCGCAAAATGCATTACCTTTTTGGGTCAGGTAAAAATAACGGTCATGACTACACATACGATTCATCTCAAGTATTGCAAGGCATTCAAAATCGTGTGCCTCATTTCCGCAAACTTACATTCTAATATTAATTTGAACTTCAGAGAACAATATAAATGTAAGAGGTGTTTTTTCTTATTTTTTCCGGTTTTATCGCGAGGTGAACAAAACACAACAAACGTAAGGTCTTTATCCTCCAACGTAATGTGTTGCATAATTTGCATTACTTCATTCAATAAGAAATACACGATTTTAAAAAAGTTCATTAAATATTAACATGCAATAGATACATTAACTTAGACATAACTTAGTCATTGCAGATACTTCTCATAGCTCTATTATTTCAAGGTTAAAATGAATATATAACTTAAGTTAACATAGACCGTTAGTTACGCGAACATCATAACAGTTTCAATAATATTTTAGATTAATAATTTGGAACTTTTTGCTCTGCAAACATTCCACACTTTCTATGAGAGAACTCTAGAAGAAGAAACTTTAACTGTGAAGTACAATCAAAAACGCGAAATATATATATAGAGTTCTCTCATAGAAAGTGTGGAATGTTTGCAGAGCAAAAAGTTCCAAATTATTAATCTAAAATATTATTGAAACTGTTATGATGTTCGCGTAACTAACGGTCTATCTTAACTAAGTTAGATATTCACTTATATATATATATAAATCAGCTTATATTTTGATAAACACATATTAATATTTAAAAAATTAAATGAATTCTATTTTCAAATTATATCACAACTAGCTATAGCCCGCAACTTCGTCCATGTGGAAAATAAAACCTAATAAGTAGCCTATGTGTTCTTCCAGACTATGTTCTACATCTATGCAAAATTTCAGCATGATCCATGGAGGTGTTTTGGAGATACCTTCTAACAAACATCCATCATTCAATCCATGCAAATATTCTGATTTATTATATTAATAAGATTGAGTAGTTGGATAATTACAGATTTTTAAGTGTTCATTTTTCTGTATAACATAGTAGTATAGGGTCATAGGTACTGCAGAATTTGCGAGACGTAAAGGGCAAGGTCGAAACGAACAAAAGCAGTGAGGGGCAATTGATTGATTGCGTTATATTGTAACTCACTGCGACTAAGAGGTTCACTTCCTTTTTCCGAGGAAGTACATGTCAGAGTTTATATTAAAGATTTAAAAAAATTCAATGGCTATACATTCAGTTTTAACTGCACTTTTCTAACTGAATCGTCAGACTGTACAGCTAAAAATTATGTATGTAGGCAACATAATTGTCAGATTAACTGTACTTGGTGTTTCCTATACAAGTACGTTTTAATTGACCAGTCCAACTACTCAGTTAAGACTTTGCAGTTAAAATTCAAGGTGTGTAGCAGGCTTAAGATCTCCTGATATCCGGGAGTGCGATCAGAGAGAGAACTTTTGACAGAAATTTTTAAATTTGACGTAAGTATAAAGACTTACCGAGCCTAAGTTCACCAAAGTTGCCGCAGCCGATCTTCTTGCCGACGCGGAAGTTGGGCCCCACCATGAGCACCCCCGATGAGGAGGTGACCGAGTGCCGCGACGTGTGCATCGCGCTGCTGCCGCCCACGCCGCGCCCGCCCACCGCACCGGTCGCGCTGCACAAATACACATATTTTACATACTTGCTACAATCACCAACAATCGTCAACAAGTCGTTAAGTGACAACGTGTGTGTGGTAGTTTCAACACTAAGCGTGTGTTAAATAAACGACTCTGAATGTCTCTATCAAAGATATTCAGCCCTGAGTACTCATTGCCAAAAATCACATTGATATTAAAACTATTTGTTAAATATTTCTTTTAGAAAAAATTGATACTTCAACATAATTTATGTGAATGTTTATCCAATGTAGTCTCACGGTATAAGTTCAGTCGACCCATATCACCTAGAACGGGGAACTATCACATCCAAGGAAAAGGGAACAAAAGAAACAATTAGATTTATCACAAAGAATGGGTTACACATACAAAACTCATTGCATCGTAAAAGCAATGTGAATGAAAGCATATTATGTTATGTAATTATTGACATAAGCTCAAGTTTTAGCTGAAATTTAATTTTACCTTCTAATATAGAACATCGTGACAACACGATGACTGCTCTGATAAAGTGCAGGCAGTCAATGTGTTGCCAGAACTGCAAACCTGGAACATTGCATTGCCTAATGTATAGCACCAAATCCTACTGCATCCGCTACTCTTATGATCCACAAGCCACATGCAAAGGAAATAACCATAACAACACCATATGGGGAGAAACAAGGCACAAAGGTATGAGAAAACACTGACAAAAAAGTATATAGCCAAACTATCACATAGGTGATTTGATGGAATTTTCAGATGACCCATTTTAATATAGACAATATCAATCCATAATGCATATCCTGGTTAAATCATGATGTGCAAATATAGTATACAAAATTTGTAAGCATTTTGCCACCTAATTGGGAAAAATCCTAACAAATAATTCACAAAAACGTTGATTTATTTTCAACGGATATTGTACAAACAGATTTTTAAAAACCTCCACATAGTCGGATGAAATCAGATACTTCAGTAGGATTCTGGTACAAATCTTTAATAAAAAAAGTAATATTAAAAATAGCTTGTCAAAAATATTTTCACAGCCAAACATTATATTGAAGCAGAAAGAAAAATCTCAAAAGCTAAGAATGATAAATAGAGAAATTTATAGTGTAAAAGTGAGAGACTGAATTGTTGAGTTAGTAGAAGGGGCTATGATTTCCGCAACTCCACTGGGCGCCAGGAACAAACTCAGCAAACTGAGATACCAACATACATAGGTTATTTGTGCTTTGTAAACTTATGCTAGATAAAACCATAGAAGCATAAATTGGAATGAAATACAAAGAAATATCAACAGCTACACCATAGAGATTGTAAAATCTGCCTGAACCTCAGGTGTAAGGGTGTAAATGCATTAAGGTATTAGAATATAAACAAGATATGAGACATTATTATAAACTATACACAAGTGTGCATAAGTGCAGATGTAGACAGATCTATTAGTTTTACACAAACAAAACTTGAATGTGCTTAAGTTCTTTCAAATACTACACAATAGGCCTTTAAATTTTTCCAAAATCAAGTCCTAATAAGCTAGAAATTATGACAGCAAAATGTAATGTTACCATATGAAATATAAAACATTAAAAAAATTAAACATAAAATATTCTTCTTCTTTTATTTTGTTTTAATTAATTTATTATAGTTAATACGCAGGCAATCAAATTATTGTCCAGTCTGTGAGAGTGCAGAGACTGCAGTGATTCAGCGACCGTTATTGGCATTGAGTCAAAAGTGAAAGTCTGCCCCTACCTTCCAAGTTATACCTAACTGAAACTAAGAATTAACCGTAATTCGTTACTAGTTATTCAAATAATAGCAGAGTGAGTCATATAAGATTTGTATTTAGTTCTTGAGGATTTTTAGTATATAATTGCAATTAATATTCATAACTCACAAACTAACATGTATCTATACAAATGTCCATAATACTCCTCTGCTATGGCACATGTATTAATGCTTAATACATATTGTAGTCTAATTATGTCAAGAGAACATGTATGTACTACAGTATCTAATGTGTCTTTTGAAAATGAAAGGGACAACAATATGTAATAAAAGTATCCCTTGGAGTCTAGTTCATCCAGGTTCCACAGTAAATGCATACTCACCAATTGAAATTTCTCCTTAAAAACCTATAGGTTAACTTTAGTATTGATTTAAGATTCAATCAAACAGAGAAGCCAAGCTTCTGTTTCACTTATGGTGTTATAGTTTGGGCGTTAAATATATACACAAGCACTAACTTGCTTTTCGTTTTAAAACATTTTAAATCACTTTTTAATTTTATTTACTAACAAATCTCTTATTTACTAACACTACAAAAGATTTTGCTTTTTGAAAACCTTGACACATTTTAAAGCATTATTTTGTTGGTTAGCTTTGTAGGTTATTAAAACATAATATAATATATAATACTCACAATTTTCTATGCATAATTGATGTTCAAATAGTTTAAAATTAAATAATCACAATGAATCCTGAACATTTTTTAATCTTTTATAAATAATATAACAAAAACACACTTGACAAATTTTGTTGACACTGGCTGAGCACACTTGATTTTAACTATAAACATCTACTTCAAAAGACATCTTTAGATGAAAATAAATGAAATTAAATTAGCAAACTTTGTGTATAAATGCTTCACCGCAGTAACAGATAGCATGTTCTGTTCATATTAAGAAGTGTTATCAAGGGTATTGTGATATGTAAGATGTTTATGTGTTGTGATTCATTCCAGTATTGATACCGAGACAGACTATATATATTTTAAGTGTTACAAATTCATATATCATATATACAGATTACATAATTATAAATAAATGAAAATAACCCTTAAGTCATCTGGAGTTGTAAGCAGACATAAATTGAATTTATTACATTAATCTTATTTTCGTAGTTTTGTTTTAAAGTAATAAGAATATTACTTGTTACACTGAAGTCAACAATACCCTTTCTTTTTCTAAAAATGTTACCCTGTCCTGTTCCCACTTTATATCAGATCAAAATACTAGACTTGACTTTTAAATAATTATCACATCCGTAATTTCAGTAGTATTTTTCTGGATTGTCCTTTCAGCAACTAATTTCCCAAAAATATTTTTATGTTAACACAGTTTCTGTAACATGTCATTCTTTCCTCTTTATACTATTGCCCTATTTACTTTTAATATTTAGAGTGCAGGTTTTAATGACTTTTTAATTTAATGAAATTTACTTTTTTGCATATCCTTCTAAAGTTTCTGAACATAGAGGTATCTCGTAATTAATTCAATTGTAGTATAACAGAAAGAATAAAATATATTTTGAAGATTTTTACAGATTTAAGGTTATAAGAAGTTATTCAATTAACAGTATTTATAAAATTTTATAAATGAGGTTAGTTGCATACAATAAGGGATTGTTAATAGATTTTTTCATCTTCAAGGTTATTTACTCAAATAAAACATTATCATTTAAAAGATAAAATAAGCAAACTTTTGCATTAGCATTTACAGATTTTAGAAGACTTGTTCCTGGCGGAAAAAAAATCTTATTGATTTTACATGACATATTAGTTAATTTTTTGAATAAATCCTTTATACTTATTATCTATCAAGAAAAAGCTGACTAAGCAAAGATACTTCTTGATATATTTTTAATTCAATTTACACTTATCTAAAAAAATAAATTATATTTTTAAACAAAGAAATTCTTTTTTAATTCTCACTGATTTTATCACTTGATGAGTCACTGGTGAGTAATGATATAGATATTTTGAGAAACTAAAAGTACTCAAAGCTGCCCTTCAAAATGATTTGTTTTTGAGATGAATTGAAGCATAAGAATTACCACAAACATTATGTTTACTACTGTTTACTACAAATGTTTAAGTCATCAAAACAAACTAGAGAATAACAATGATACTTAGAACAAATATACAACTGTAAGATTTTTATGAATAACACAACATAATCAAGCTAAAAGGGTATATGTATATAATTTCTATCTACCCCATATATTAAGAATCTATATTTACCTTTGGTTCTTTGATTAATTGCTACATAAATTAACAATTTGAATGCAATTAACAAAAACTAGTATATAAAAAGATTTGATTGGTTTAATTAAATATAAAAAACACTTAGAAGTAAAACTGGTGCCTCACAGATTGATAAATTTATTGGATTATAATGGCATGTTGATGCCACAAACTAATAATCTTGTTTTATCATTATGAAACAAAACAGTGATCCAGAAATGAAGGACTGTATTGTTCTGCCTTAGGCACTATTATACTTAATTTCTATACTACTCTTTCATAATTCTATATAATTGATATTTTGTATGTTTTTAAATGTTCACATTGTGTCTTGTATATAAACATTATGTCATATTAAACACTGACCAAGTATTAAATCTTAGTTATCCATACAGAGACAAGTTTTTAAATAAATTGAAACTACAGAGTTGTATAAAATCTGACTAACATTACTTTAAAAAATTTAAAAATATAAAATTTTTATGACCAAAAAAACATTTTCTCAAAAATTTTGTGGGCTCTGTCTCCTGAACTCGTAAATACTGTGTTTCAGGAGACAGCACCTTCTCTTATCTATTGCCTAAAGTTTATATAGATTCTTAACATATATGTAATTAAATTATATTAATTAAATATAGATTATTATTATTTAGATACAAATATAAATACTAGATATATAGTGTGCGATATTGTGTGTTTGTGCATGCACACATGCACTTGGTCCACTGTCAAAACAATCTTTAATTTTTTTTTTTTTCAGAAAAATACTGAGATAGCAAAGCCTTTTTATAAAGGTATTAAAAGAGCAAAAACTAACCATTACAATATGTGAAAAAGATTATGAATAAGAATAATTATGTGTGACAATTTGAGAGCTCTGTTTACTATTGATTACTATAAATGTTTACATCATCAATTAAAAACAAACAACTACAGCAATAAGACTAATACCTGGTTTACATGCCAGTACAGTAGGACATTAACTCTCCTTTGGAATGGATTATGACAATTGAATGCCAGGGCTGATTCTGTGTGCTATCTTACTACTGTACTATTGTACTGACAAAATATTAGTTAGTAGAAGCCATATGCTCTCCATAGAATTGTGGTTAAGGGTGTTATTCAATGTTATGTTCAATGTAAAAAAATAAAAAGATTTAAGATAGTTCAAAATAGTCTACACAACAAATTGTATTGCATAAGAATTGGCAACACACAGATTGTTAGTATTTTGATTGTATGTTAGTATCTTAACTTATTTTTATTCTGCAAAGCATGTATTGCTATCTTTTAATATATTTAGTACTCATAGCTAATTGATGTGTAATTTATATGCAATAAAACCAGAACCACAAAATACACTTTTCCATGCATCCATTGTTTTGTACCCATGCAATCATTGTCTACATAATAAAAATTAAAGATTTGCTTATTTCATGATACTGATAATTATTATTAACACTTTTTTGCAATGTTATTGACTCATAGACATATAACCCAGTTGGTGGCCTGTATTCTTTAAGAGTTAATCAGTAAATAAGTATTTGTTTTAAATGTATTTTTTAAATTTATGATGTATATAAGTATATGAGTAGTTTAGAAGTGAATTTATTCTTATTGTACATGAGTGTATAGCTAATTTGATGTACTTACGCAGAAGTTCTTTTATCGTCACTTTGACGTTCCTTTTCCTTATTGCTGTCTCGTTTATTCATAATACTAGGGTCTGGTGCAGGTGCTATGCCGAGCACACTGATCACTCCTGGAGTTCAGCTTCCCTGGCCGCACCCCTGCAGTCCATGTCACCACAGCTTCCAAGAATATTCACACCAGCACATAATCCCCATGTCACGGTACACGCCACTTTCAAATCACTACTTTTTAAATATTGCTTTTTTTATATTTTTGTACACTATTTAACAAATTCACTGTTGGGAATTTATCTCAAAATCATTTTTGTTACCCTGCAAGCACGATTTTATTTTGATGTTTCGGCGATACGTAAGCGATGCGATACCAAGGACTTAACGGAATTTCAATGACTGAGAGATAACTATCGTTCTATGCTACCGATATCTGATATTAAATATTAAACATACTCAATATCTGATAATTTTGTTGTAGTGTGACAGATGAAAGCGCCAGATATAGGTCGCCCTGCCAATGTTATGTTCAATCAAGAGTAACAAACGAGACGGGGCTCACACCTTGTGCATAAAATGAATCACACACATTCACCCTTACAATTTGCAAATAAAATAAGCACTATTTCTCATTCTAACACTCATTAAATAAAACGTAACTACCAGAAAACTAAGGAAATGACATTTTCGTTGAAGTAGGAAATAGGCCCTAATAAAATCGTTGCTTCTCAGTCGCCTTATTAGCTTTTACGGATGTCAAAAAACAAATTCACTGTTCAATACAGACATAAACTCATTCTCCTCTTTTGCGGGGAATGTTACTTTTGATTAGCTGCACAACGTCGCCGAAACATCAAATCAAATGGACATTTGTCTTGATAAAAAAGTTTAGGTTTTGTAATGGCCACCAATGGTACACTTTAAGCACTTTTAGAATTATTTTTGCAAAAGTCCTAATTTTATTATTTAAACTACTGAATTAAATTAATTTCTAGTTTACCGACGTAAATACAAGCTAACGACAAAAATTCATAGTTAAAAAATATTAGTTCAAAGATTATTCACTGAAATATCGCCATTCGGCGCATGCGCGAACTTGCACCCAAAAGTGTTACTATTTCAAAAAATTATAAAAAAAAAAACAAATAAACTTGAAAAAACAACGTTTTATTTGCGAATTGATATAAATTCGTTGTTTTCATTGTCTATCCGTATTTAATTTAAATATTTGTTTGTGCTAAGATGCATTCAATTACTCCCCTAATCCCTAATTGTTTTGTGATTTCAAATTTCTGTCTGGCAATACAGCAACGATGCGTTCAAAACAAAACTCTACATAATGTTAAAAGAAAAGTATGAAAAAGCGCGGAAGGGCAGCGTTTTAACTATTTTACTTTCTCAATGTAGGTATCGTATATATAGTTAGCTTTTTTACATTATAAGGTGGTAAACGAGCAAGCGGCTACGTAAATTCGCCGACATAGTGAAGTGACCGTTGCCTTTAGACATCCGCAAGTGCAGATGCCTTGCCTATCAATGGCGTAGGAAACACACAGAAAGAGAATACTTCATATGCCTCTCCCTTCGTCAAATCTACTTCCCCTTCACATCCTTTCCTTATAACATAAGAGTAGAAAGGGATTAAAATTAGGTCTCCCGTACGCACACTCATTAGTGTTAGATGAAATTGTGAATTGCTTGCACTTCGCGGTTGTCTTCTGTGTAGTCGTGGTGTCTCAGCGTGAGAGCCTGCCATCCATGCTACTTTTGTGCTACTGATGTTAAAAATAATGTAGGAATCACCGCCAATCTCTCTTCTTTTTTAATCTATGCAGAGCGAGATGGGCAAAGAAAGAAATGGCATGATCATGTTCATCTAAGGCTAAGTAACTAACTGTAATACTTAGAGTCATGAAGTGCTCACTAGACCATTAATGTGAATTTCGCATTGATCGTAAGTACACTACGAGAGACCACTTAATAATCTCTACCAACCTAGTCAATGTGTTGTCACTTATAAATTTCTTCGTATATCGTTTTCCTTAATATAACTATATAAATATTCTAGAAGTAACATGGTACGGTATGAATGTCATATTTGTTGAGGTTGAGCGTTCCGCTTATTTGGTTCCCTTTTGATCTTGATTCAGACTTCGTCAATCGGCCACTGCCAGTCGGCAAGCGGAGCTGTGACGAACGGACGTGTGTGACGTAGGTTATGTTTACAATTCAAATTGTAATAAGACGTATGTGTAACTTTACGTTCAAAAGATAACAACTCAAGGCCTATATTGCAAAACGGATTGTCGAAAGGTAAGTGGTTACTATCGCTTTACTGTTTTAAAACGAAACATTGTTCGTTTGTAATTTTTAAGTTGTTGACGAATCCTAAAGCCTGTCTGTGTGCATATACTTAATTTGTCAACTGGTCATTTATGTTATGATAATATTTAATTCAAATTTTGTGCAAATTAATTTACATAAATACTTTATTAATTTTTAACTAAAAATAATATTTTTGGTACCGTGATAGTCCAGTAAGTAAAAGTCCGAACTATCAAAGGATACTACGTGTTCGATTCCCAATCAGACTTTATTTGGAATTGATATTTGTGCTGTCAATGAAATACTTTTTATCTTTACTTCAGCTATCGTTATATATACGTGATATTAGTTGGTTTATTATTTTCATTTTATTTTCTTTTTTTTAATCAGTTGTACATAAGTATAGATATAAGTACGTTCTTGATGCATATAACTGAGTAAGCAGGTTTTCTCCCGATCAATGAAGCATAGACGAAGTTTTACCAGCCATAAATAAGTCTGCCTTTCTGCCGCCCTTCAAATCTGATATTGATTATATTATAATACTATTTTCTCTTCAGTAACCTGCCAATTTGAGGTTATGAACACTAATTTTTAATTGCCAGGATTACACTTGTCAATATCAAGTATATGATAGCGATAAACTAAAATGTTGATGAGTAGTAATTAAGAAAAACCAACTGATGGTAACCCTGTTATTTGCGGGTAAGGATACGAATTGAATGACACCTCCACCAAATCTGTCATTTGAATTGTAGGTCAAAACGAAACGGGGGAACATTTTTAAAATCAGAAAACGTTACCCACAATCACCGTAAGATTCTGAGACCAAATTCTTTGTTTAAAACATATTGTTATCTCTGTTTTGTGAAAGATAACGACGGGGATAACGATATGTTTTATACAGAGTTTTCTGTCTCAGAAACCCACGGTTAGTCGGGCTCCAGCCCGTTAGTGAAGCTCCAGTTTCATAACGAGCCAACGCTCAATGTTAAGTGGCAGTTATCTATGCAACAATAGCATACAAACGTTCTGTCAATGCTAACCTTCTTGAGAGTTACTCGTTGTGAGGACACTCGAACTCCATTACGTATGTAGAGACGATAATACGAGGATATAATCAATTCTAGTCCATTTAGTATCAGAATTGACTAGTCTGGCAACATTGGAAAAATTGATCTGGAGAACGAAATTCCGCTGGATTAGGTCGACTGTTGTACTAATCTATATGATTAAGCTATTAAGCTATAATGATGTACCATTTGGATAGAGTTGAATGTAGTAAATATTCTTTATAGACATTTCTTCGTCAACTCAGATTTTTACCGTGCCATTATCATCTCATTGGCAATGAAAACTTGCGTTCAATAAATTCAATTACAACGTTGCATTTTCATCATTACAATTGTGTTTCTTTTCCGTCATGTGACAGATTGGTCTTGTGGCGGGAAATCAGTAATTGTGCTGCCGTACAATAGAATTATACAACGTACAATTTTGTTATTAAACTTAGTTTTTTGTTATTAACTCAAAACGGAACTCGAGAAATATTGTCTTTCTACATTGAACGTTGCTTTTGGATTATTCTCTAATGAGTTCAACATTTTCACTTTGCTATCTATATATCTTTAGTGTTTAGTCGTTAAGAAATAGGAGACTACAGAGCTAAGAATTCCGTCTCACTACAAAAATCAGTTTGAAATTCGAGTTACGTGGCGCAGTTTAGTGTTTTTTTTTTTAGATCGTCTGATGGTTAGTTTACATCAAATATCTTTTCTATCAATACATAGGAACCGCATCTGGCTTCTTAGCTCAAAGCTTTGTCCCTTTAGTCGTAAACAACTTTCAAGTCAAATTGTAAACGCCGAATGGAACTCGTAAACTTTTAACTTATATTCCCAGATGGAATTCGGTACTTTCAGTGTCTGCAGTCAGTAATTGGCAATTCCGCAGATATCAATTGCTAAATATAGTTAAGCTTTCCAGCGACAGTCTGCACTTAGCTTGTACGAGCTGTAAATTGCGCAGTTATAAATACTTTAGTATTGCGAATTGCGATCTATCACTTGCAGTGGTATATAAGTCGAAGTTTATCCAACATTGGACCGACTCTTTTCTTTTATTAAAATTCCTTCTGTTAATCTGTGCTCATTTATAAAATAAAAATTATGTTCGTCACTTAAATGTCAGAAAAATACGTGGGAAAAACTGCATATTTTTTTCTTAATTTAAATTAATTAATCTTTACGAACAATTGATTAACGTAAAAACCAAGTTCTTAATAAATTCAATGCAAAAAAAATTACTGGCACCACACTATTTTTATGTTTCGAAATGATTCATTTCGGTACATTGGAGTACGCCCGCACTGAACAAACCTTATCGTTGACCTTGGTTTTTCTAATCTCAAATCTTTGATGTATTAACAATTATCACAAATATATCGTCATATATTTGCAAACATCTAAGTGCCTCTCTTGTATTTATGTTTTACAAAAAAATATCATTTATAAAAAACAATTTTTTGTGCCAAAATAATATTTCTAAAAAACTTGGACTTATGTCTGTGTTGTCAACGAAATTCATTTCATAAAAAAAAAACTATCGTAACATTACTCTTTGTTGTATTCCCTCATTATTAAATACATTCATACTTCAGCACAATGGAAATTCATGTTTTATTGATTTGGCCTTAAGATAAATATTATAAACGTCATGTGAGAGAAGTAAATGCATATAAAATTTACTTTAGGTTAAGTAGGTATTTGAAATAAAGTACAACGTGTATTTGTATGTATTTTTAAACAGAATATGTAAATATTTTTGCCAATTTAAAACTCAATAGGTCAATCAGAGTGACCAGTCAAAGTTTTCACAAATGATAACCATATTTATTAATCAATTACATATTATTGTGAAGTTTTTGTACCATACTGCGCACGTAATAAATAGGTATTATCTTGCTAATATTATATATGCAAATGTCCCATACATTGCAGATGGATGAATGGATGGATTTTTCTTAGAAGGTGTATCCAGAACGCTTGCATGGTTCTCCCTGAAATTTGGCACAGATATAGAACATAGTGTTTAAAAACACGTCGGCTACTATTATAATTAAGATTTTTTTTAATTCCGCGCGGACGACAGCTAGTTTGAAATAAAATAAAAACTGGCTATTCTTGAATCAAGTCTTGGTCTCAAATTTCAAGAAAGAATGTTAGACGCTTTAAATAACAAATGTTTCGTCCATATCGAATAAGTTTGAGTCCATCAAACAGGTATTTTAAATGAACTTTGGGAGTTGTCAAAAACGGGTTTTAAAAGCAGGTTTGATAGAAAGTTTTCATATACATTTTTGTATGGGAACAACAAACCAACAAGACGACCTCTACTTAATTAATTTTAATTATTATTGTAATTATTATTAAAATAATTAGTTATACAGTCGAAGCGTTACAATAATAAACCAGGTTGACATTTACAAACAAGATAAAAGTTCACGTAATATCTTTAAGAAAAAAAATGACTTATTTCTAACACAATTACGTTATTAAACGTGATCATAAAAATGTAATTAATATTTATTATCGTTACATTAAAAACCTTATACATGTAAGTAGTAAAAAACAAGTGACGTGTAACATAAGAAACTACATATAATTATTATAATGGTTTACTTTATATCTTGAAATTCCTAATAGTGATCAAACGCGACTTGGTTAGTTCGTAATAATCACGTTTACGTTTCGACTTATATCAAATGCATCTTTTAAACGAATTATTCATGTATTATTTCTTAATATTCAATCGAAAATAACAATATAAAATCGCATTTCATCTTTCAATGTTACGAAATAAACTGTACATTTTATAATTTGTCAAATAAAAGTGTTTAAATAATTATGACACGTTTATTTGTTATTCATTGTACTCTGTATACATTTGTTTAGCAGCTAGACTCTAGCATAACGCAGTACAGCGCTGCGGACTAAGATATATGTGACTATATCATAGTACAGCCTACTGCAGAGGGACTATTAGGTCATAGTGCGAAACGTGGCAGACAAACCTCAATTTGGTGGGCGTGATTACTTGTCTCGAAATAAATTTTATTTAAACTAGAACATGGACGTAATCGATTGATTACTTTAACGTATACTTTTAATACAGCAGTTTTTTCAAATTATTTATATTTGTGTGTGTAAAATGTACGTGTGAATATATAATATTAATATTTTATGAATTAATAGCGTTTTGTAACTTTCCTAAGTTGTTAACCTTGAATTTTATTTTATTATTCAAGTGCTAGTGAACAAGTTTTCGATATTTGACTTTAAACTCTAACATTTTGTATCTGAACTAGACTTCGCCCGCGGGGAATTAAAAAAAAACTTAAATAGTAGCCTATGTTTTTCCAGACTATGCTGTACAACGTAACTTAATTATATGATTTATGACTACGTTGTTAGACATTTGACCCGAAATAATGGAATATTATGTGTGATTTAAATAATTATAGAGCTTTTGACTATATCGCTAGTATATACACGATTTTATAGATTGTTGGACTGTTAATGTTTGGATTAATCGAAAGAATATTTTAACACAATTTAATATTATTTAAACAACTAATAGATTGTTCTATTTACAGAAAAGAATTTCAAAATGGCGGACACAAAAACAGAAGAACCAACGAAAGTAATAGAACATATGAGAAATTGGGTGAATTCACAACCACATTTACCTAAAGATATAGGTTTGAACCATTTTATTATATTTATAAAAAAAAAATAATTGTTACTAATAAAATTAAAATAGTAGTTGATATGCTATTTTCGCTATATAATCTTTGTTTTTATACGTCTATTAATATGTATTAAAATAACGATAATATTTACAGAAGATTGGCTCCTACTCCGATTCGCACACAGCTGTTACTATGATCTGGAGAAGGCTAAGGTTGCTGCGGATTTGTTCTTCACTTTACGGGCAGAGAGTAGTAACTTGCTCAAAGACAGAGACCCTCAATCAACACAGATGCAGAAGATATTAAGCATAGTGTAAGTCTGTAGAGAACTCAACGGTTACACAAAAAACATGCGTTAAAATCAAGTTGTTCTGTATTTTACAAATAAGTCTTGAAAACGCACGTGACATAAAAAAAATAATTTTCACCGGCCTGTTTCATTTTTATATGTTAGTTTTCCTTTTCAGAAACATCGGCCAATTAAAGTTACCCGGCAAGAAAAATATTTGGATTTATCAAATTAACGATCCAGGATTAGACATATATGAATATATACTTGATGTCAAACTGTTCTTCACATCGACAGACGCCTGGTTACTTGAGAACGATGATTTAGAAGAGTCTGACACTGTTATCATAGACGTAAAGGATATATCTTTGAAATTTTTGACAAAACTCAACGTATCAATTGCGAGAAAATTATCAAAGTACCAAGAGGTTTGATTCCTTTTTTCTTTACTTACTTGTAATACTTGTGTAAAAAACAACAAACAACTCTGTGTCTTTTCAAAGCGAAAAAAGGGTAACAATATGGTAGTCTGCTTAGTTACGTACCTACCGTCTGGCAAGCATTTAATAAATTATTACATTGGTCCAGTTTTTTCGTTTTTGTTATTTAATTGCAATTTATTGTTTGCAGGAAGCAATACCCATACGATTGAAACAAGTGCACATTGTCAACGCGCCGCCGTTTATTGACAAAATCTACGGCATCATGAAGCCATTTCTAAAGAAGGAATTAACAGAAATGGTAATATGTTAATTTCGTTTACCTTTAATGATTTACCTTTTCGTAAAATTTTACAATAGCGAATTATGCACTAAATCAATCAAATCAAAACAAACAATCACCAAAAATTCGTCATAGATAACAGTCGTTTTAAATTACACATTATTCACTTAGAATATCGAGCGTTTATTTTGAACATTAAATTGGTAATATTTTGAACGGAAACTAACATTTTGTACAGATTTATTTTCACCCGCCAAATTCGGAGACTTTGTTTAAGCACGTGAGCAGAGACGAGTTGCCAGCCGACTATGGAGGAACATTCCCTAAAATGGAGTATCTCAATAAATCTGTTGTACAACTCATGATGAAGCACAGGTAAAATACAGAATTAATATAAATTATCTTTTAGGTATAATTAATTTATGCTGCATACATTTCATCACAAAAAGCCTAACAAGGTTTTTTTAAACCGAAACATATAAACTTTTGACTGAAGTATTAATTGTTGCCAGATTGCTTTGCTATTTTTCTACCATTTTTAAATTCAAACGAACTTACAGAAACATGAGCTTTAAATATTTTTTCTATGCATCTGCCATTTTTGGGAAAATTATATTGCGATTCTTTTCTAATTTTTCACTTTGTTTATTTCATTTTTATTCCCACATGGTATCTCAATTTACGTCAACTTATTTTAATTGTAATTTACTAATGCAAATAATTATTCATCTTTGTTCCAGGGAGCGATTAAATGAAAATCTTTGGGTAGCTATTGACAAGAAATCGAAAAATAAAGACAAAGTTCACATTGAAACTGCCTCATTCCGATCTCTTGCCATAGATTAAGTTTTATATTAATTTAATAGAGTTAAGAAATTATGTGACAAATGGGTATCTTGTGATCAATTTATTTAATGTTAACATTTTTGAAATATATTTATTAAGTTGGTATTTTTATTTTCCTTTTTGTATCTAATATTATATGTCAATCTAAATGAATTAATAGCCATCTTACTGCAAAACGGAAATGGTCTTACAAATGTAGTTTTTATTGTAAAACAAATAAAAAGTATACTTTTTTACCTTATAACTGCCTAACATGCCTTATTTATTACATTATGTAGTGATATATAGATAGTAAATATAATTAAAACAAACATAAAATACTACTATTACATTTATTTTTACATACAATGACAAACTTAATTTATTACATAATAGAATTTATTTAGATTTTGCTTGTACATTAGATAATTTTGTTGGGTCATATTTATATGTCTTCTGTAAAGGTCCCTTCCCTGCTTTTGTGAATAGCAGTTCATCAATTCTCTGCCTATCTGCAAGATCTCTTGATATTTTCATATTCGTCCAGGAATCTTTTGCACCTTCAATGAATCCTTTCTTCTTGATTGGTAAATTGTCTGGTGTATGTTTTATTAGTCTAGGAATTTTGAAATAATCTCTCACAGCTGGTACTTTTAAGATTCCAACTTGAAGTAATGATATGAAGTTAGTTGAGCACCAGTATACAAGAATAGCTCCTGGGAAGTTGATAGTAAAAGGTAACATAATTATGGGTAATGCACGAAGAACATATCTCATGACCTGCATGTTTTGAGCATCAAGACGTCCACCATCAACACCAAGTTCTATTGTTGCCCATAAGGTAGCACTCGTTATTATTGGTAGCAAGAAAAATTGATCAGGAACTGTTAAATCTGTGAACCACCACAAGCCTCCATGCATCATACTTTCAACTGGACAATTTGCCATGCCTCTTAAACCAACAAAGAATGATATAAACAATGGTGCTTGTGCCAATGGTACAAGAACATTCTTTAGCGGATTTAGTCCTCTCTCTTTCATGAATGCCATCATTTCTTGGGCATACTGTGCAGCTTCTAACTGATTTCCAGTTTGTCGGGCTTGTGTCATTTTAACTTGGAGAAGTTGTATTTCAGGCAAATTGTTGTTCATTATTGCAGTGTTCCGTTGTGACATTATAACTAGAGGGAACATAATTGCTCTTACAACTATTGTACCAATGAGAATTGCACCCCACCATGGCACATCTAATGTTACGTGGAGATATTCAAAACAATTCTGTACTATTCCCACAGGCCCCCAACCACCTAGACCTAAGCTAGCAAATGATGGTTCGCCGTTTGCGGCTAAAGTTTGAACTGCTTCAGTTATTTCACCAATGGACGAAGCATCTGGCACAGGAGGTGGTTCAGGTATGTTATCAATTAAGGGTACTGTTTTTCCGGCATCACTACCACTAGATGCAAACCTCACAGAACCAGCTGGTGAGTAGCAGTAAAAGATTTTCGCTCGTTTAACCTCAAATTTCTCATAACGCAAATATAAAATGCCACTTTGTCTTGCATGGCGGTTAAGCAATTTAAACATTTCGTATTTCGGAAATTTTATCGAAGTCGTTAGTTTAGCTTAAATATTATCGTATAAAGTAATAAATACAAATGTATTTCACAAGACTTGAAAAAACATTGCCGAATTGTTGACAGATTCACTGACAAATGACAATGACAGAAATGAAAGACTTTAAAGTCAATCTTAAATCCTCAAAAACTCTATAATGCAATAAACGGAGATGGTTTCTAAACACACGTTTTCCAATTTACCAATACAATTTTAACCTATATAATACACCAAAGAGCATATAAACGATAAAATACTGCAACACTTGTGTATAAAATAAATCTCTCATGTAAACTGCGTAAACCTACACACATCACATCACATCGTGATATGTTTGACAAGTGACAACGTCATTGTCAAATAAACGTGAAAAACAAAACCAACGTGCTTTATGTTTATAGATATCGAGTATTTTATAATATTTCTCATCGCGTGATGTTATTTTTTGACAATAAGTTGTAATACCATTTAAAACAGATCAAACATGGCTCATGTTTCATATCCCTTTAAGAAAACCAACAAATCTGTATATAAAAAGCCGGCATCAGCTCTCACTGAGGATAACTTGTACTGGAAGAAATTAGGAGTAAGTTTGTTTTTTTCTATGTCAGAATATTGCTTTAATATTAATTACAAAGTAATCAATAGTACGTCATAATAAAAACTGTAAAAACAATAAAAGTTGATGTTTATTTCAGCAACCTGTGTTAGTGAAAGAATTTGGAGCAATAGATTACCTTGACTTCAGTCCTGTAGAACCATATTATTTCGCTGCCACTTGCTCCGTGAGAATACAGGTAAAACACTGACATGATATACAAGTTTACTTTTCACAATTTTTTATTGCACTAAACTTACAAAAAGTAAAGTTCTAACATTTAATGATTAAACTTTTTAATTTCTAAAAATAACATCTTTTTTATATTCTAGATTTATGACCCAATTACGAAAACTGTTGCCAAGAATATATCAAAATTTTTAGAAGCAGCCTATGGTGGCTCCTTTAGGAATGATGGAAGACTTTTGATAGCAGGAAGTGAAGAGGCGGCTGTAAAGTTATTTGATATTCAGTCCAAAAATGTTTTAAGAGTATTCACTGGACACACTGGGCCTGTAAGTTATGTTTTTTTCTCAAACATTGTGTCAAGGACTTGTTAAAAGTTATTGAGTATAATCTTTTTTTTTTCAGGTTCATAGAACTTTTTTTACAAAAGATCAAACAAAAGTTATCAGTTTTTCTGATGACAAATCTGTTTGTCTATGGGACATAGCAACTGAAGAAAAAATTAAAACTTTTTCTGAACATACAGATTATATAAGAGCTGGTGCTCCAAGTCCAGTATCACCTGATTTAATTTTATCTGGCGGTTATGACCATATGGTGAAATTGTATGATTGCAGAACTAATGAAGCTACATTATCTGTCAACCATGGAAGTCCTGTTGAGTCAACTATTTTCCTACCATCTGGTGGATTGTTTGTTAGTGCAGGTGGTACAGAAGTCAAAGTTTGGGATATATTCAATGGTGGAAAGTTACTAGCAAATATTTCACAGCATCACAAAACAGTAACAACTTTAAGACTATCAAGTAATGCAAGTCGGCTAATGTCTGCTTCTCTTGATAGACATGTTAAAATATATGACATATCAACATTCAAAGTGGTTCATAATATTGACTTTCCTAATGCTATTCTTAGTATGGCAATATCTGACAACGATGATGTTTTGGCTGTGGGTATGATTGACGGAGTTATATCAATAAGAAAAAGAGAACAACCCATGAGGCAAAAAGAAGAAAATAAAGGTTTATATAAATTTGCCCCAGATCACATTCAAACTTCATCAACCGTAGATAATGTCGTAGGTAAGCAGAAAACTGAAAAAGGACCAGAATTTGAAAAGTTTCTTAGAAAAATGGAATTTGATAAAGCTTTATCATCTGTCTTAAAAACATATGTGGCAAGTAAATTTCCAGAAAAAACTATAGCACTTTTACAAGAATTATTACGTAGAAAAGTTTTAAATGTTGCTATTGATGGTTTATCAGAGAAAGATATTGGAGCATTGTTAAGGTTCTTCAAAAAGTATCTTGGTGAAACGCGATTTACGAGAATAATAATCGATACAGTAAATGTATTTATTGATGTATTTGAAAATCAAATAAAACTTTTCTCAGAACAAAATTTATGGTTGTACAATTCACTCAAAGAAGAAATAATGCAAGAAATTGATGTCTGTAAAAGAGCAAGTGAATTGGAAGGTGCAATAAGTCTTCTTTTGTCAGGAGCTCAAGTTGACTCTACCAGAGATATGATAGAAAATAGTGATATGCTTGCCCCATCATCTAAGGCACAAAGAGAAATAGTCATTGATGTTTAATAAAACATTTTGAATTGAATAAGTTTTTGATTTCCTTTTGTACTATAGTGCTAAAAAAAGTTACATTAAAAAATATGTAGCTTTAAAGCAACTTCTTTAATGTAACTGTTTAATGGTTCTCAAAGTGTCGACAGATTGTTAAGAGTTGTTTGTAAAACATTGGATATACATGGCTTCACTTAAAACTTTACAATAAAGTGAGTTGAAATTAAAATTAAATAAACCTAAACTAAATCTCCCTCAGTTATGTTTTCACTGAATAATACGACTTTTATGAATGTTTATGTAATACATCATTTTTTTACTAAGACTGTGTACTCATTGAAAATAATTATCAAATTTAAAACTATTATCTAGAATAAATGTGACTAAATAAGCTCCATATAAAAATTGATTTGATCAAGATCAATCTTAAATTGAATGTTAACATTATATAATCTGTGTCAACTGTTTTATAATTATTTTCTATGGTATCTATCAATCTGTCATTTTTTCAGGAGTTGTCATCAGAAGTTTTCCAAGTTTTCTTTCACAATAATAATTACTTTTCCTTGGTGATTTGGCGATACAACAATGGGCCTAAAAGAAGCCGCTATTTACTTAGATAACGAATTGAATACTTATTATGCCGGACAAACTGTAAATGGGAGGATTGAATATGTTTTTGATAGCCCGAAAAAAGTTCGAGGTATAAGAAATAGATTAGCAATCATTTGAAAATTGACCTATGAATCACTATTTATTAATAGCGATGCTGTTATGTTTGTATTGTTGTAGTTATGTGTATATATGACCGGTAAGTTTAAATCTGTCTGTTTATAGGTATTCAAGTAAAGTTTAAAGGTGAAGCACATACAGAATGGAGTGAAAGTAAGGAGGAAACCGATGACCAGGGCAAACCCCAAACGACGGATACTATGCATTCGGGGAATGAAGAGTATTTTCAAATTTCGTACTATATTCTTGGGAGCAATTCAGGTAACGTCATTATAACAGAACTATGAAGTTAGTTGGTGGTGTTCACCTCTTTTACAATTGTTTAATTTTAACATTAAAGTTTTGTAAATAATGTAACAGTAGCATATTCAACACAATACAATAATCAACGGTACAGTATACATAACTGACAATTATATTTTCATCAATTAAATCAAAAGTATGTTCATGTCATTTATGAAATTTGTCTGTAACTGAAATAATGTCACCGACACTGTAGTTACTGTAGTCATGGAGTTTTATCTTTAAGATTGTACATAAATTTTTTTTAAACTTATTTTTCAGGTAGTGAAATAGAAATACCGGCTGGTAAACAAGTTTACAATTTTACATGTGCATTACCACCAGTGCTGCCATCTTCCTTTGAAGGTCAACATGGCTATGTTAGATATACCATTAAAGTTATCCTGGATCGCCCATGGAAGTTTGATCAGGAAACTAAAATAGCATTTACTGTCATCAATGCCCTGGATCTTAATCTAAATCCATCTTATAAGGTAATTGTTAATAAGTTAAAATAGGAAAAAATGTTGAACCTCAATAAGTGAGAAATTATAACTGCTTGCTATAAAAGAGAAAATAAAACTATATACTTATTATTGTTGGCTCCCAACAGTTAACCTAAATAAGATTGAGACTCGGGTATCACCAAGTGAATTAATATTGTGATCCCTTGGACTCTAGCTTACCTAGGTTTAACTGTATTCCTTTTGAAACCATATAAAAAAATCTCAAGTACTTCTAAAATATATATTATTTAAGGATTCTGCACAAGGAGTAAATGGAACCCTTATTTTTAATACAAATATATAAGATTTGCGGACACTGCATTTAAGAGATTTTTGGTACTAATATTATTTCTTTCTAAATAATATTCCAGCCTATGAGTTTTAATCCACATATTGAGATTTCCATATGTTACTATAGTTGTATTTTGTTGATTCTAGCAACCAATTCATATGCAGATGGAAAAGACATTTTGTTGCTTTTGTTGTACATCCCTACCACTGTCGGTAGATGTGAGGGCTCCTGTCTCAGGATATTGTCCCGGACAAGTGATACCAATACAAATTGATGTGGAAAACAAGAGTAATGTGGAACTGACTCTTGTCAAATTATTTTTGAGGAAGGTATGGTTATTAGAATTATTTATTAAGTTAGAAATTTATAAAGTTTTTTATGGTTATTAATTTTTTTTGCAAGTATTTTTTGCTATTGTAATTTTATAAATCACAAATGTCATTGAATATTTATAATTGTGTAAGCTTTTTATATCAAAATAATTTTCTTAAGCCTTTAGAATAAAGTTTTTGGAAGATTTGTCACTTATAAAATTTAATTTAAATTTTCAATGAACCATAAATAAATAGATAAAGCATTACTTTTACAGTAGAACCCGAATAAGCGAGAAATCATTGTAAGCGAGTCATTTTCAGTCCCAACAGGCAACCTCCATAAGCGAGAAACTCAGGTTAAAGAGAAACCTCAATAGACATGTAAAATATCTCAGCCCTGTGGACTCATCCACTGCATTTGTTAGGATAAAATAAATATTTATCTAATTAAAATTTCTCTTTTAGGTTGTTACATATAGAGCTACAACTCCATCCACTGCAACAAAGAAGACCAAGGAAGTGATCTTGACCATTCAGCAAGGTCCAGTAGCGGCCGGGGCCACTAACCATTGGAGCCTTAGTATGGAGGTGCCTCCACTGCCCCCTTCCAACCTCGTCAATTGCAGCATCATTGATTTAGATTACGACTTAAAGGTAATTAGGTTTATCGTAATTATTTTTTTTTAATTTTGAAGTAATTTTCACAAAAGTTTATATTTTTATATGGATTCATTTGCACAAATTAAATTTATTAGGTCGTTAAAATTGTTAAAACTTTACCAACTAATCAGTTTAACATACATTGAGTTTGTGCATTTAGAAAATTTAAACACATTCCATGCTGCTATTTTTTTGTGTAAAATAACAAACTTGGTGAGACAAAACACTAAACATTTTTTGTTTCAATAAACAAATATTTATTTCAGGCTGAATGTGAGGTACCGTTTATGCATTTTAATATGAAGGACAAGAAGTACATTACTATTGGGACTGTCCCACTGGTGGGCATGAGTGGGCAAAGCGTGCCGTCCGCGCCAATGCCCGAAGGTGCCCAAGGCCAGCCGGCAGTGTTACCTGTTAGTCCTGGACAACCTAATGTTAGTATTTATTGTGCAGTCTAACTTGGATATTCTATTTCTCGCTTAAATAGGTTTTTTAGGCACAAAATAAAATAAAATTTTTGTTTCTTAAAGTAAAAGATTTAAAAATAAATGCGTGTCGTATATTGTAGAGCCTTATTTTTTAAATTCTTTAGTTTTTTTTGTGGTTATTGTAGATGCCAATGGGAGCAGGTGGTGCTGCACCCGGGGGATGGATCATGCCCACTGCGGTGCCTGGACAACCGCCTTACCAAAACCTATATCCTACGTTGAGTGAGTCTTTTAAAATTTTTTATGTTTTTAATCATATTCAGTATTATTATTCTTTGTTTCCATTAAATAACTTTCAGCTCAGCCAGTATACAAGGAGTCGCCGTACGCGGCACGTACGATACAAGACAGGGGTGACAGTAACCACGTGACTATAGCCGGACCGGCCAACTTCGCCCCATACTACCCCACGTACGGCGCTGTACAACCCCCACCATTACCCCAATAAAATACAAACCAGTGTATATTTGAGTTGTCACGTCGGGGATAAGAAGACTCTTGGTCACGACGTGCCAATTTGGGACGGGATTAGTATTACTATGGCTGCTCCTAATGGTTACGATTTTTTTTATATCAAAGCTTTTAATAGTAATGGTGCTTTGAAATAACTAATTGGCTTTAATTGATAATGGTGAAAAATGTATGCTATACAATTTGTATGGGATTTTCCTTTTTTGTATACATGTATTTGGTAAGTCTCTTCGACAATTATTGTGCGGAAATCATCTAAAATGTTTATCTAACAGTTACCAAAGTTAATGAAAAACCGTAAGGCCTATATGAATTCCTAAAAACTTTCAACTTTTTTATAATAGTAATTCATAAAATAAGCAAAGTGAAACATAAAGTTCTGATATTTAAGAGCTCAAATATTAGTTGCAGTAAGCACTTTCGTAATCCTTTTTTATATACATTTATTTACACTTTTTTTTTATTTTAATCTGCACGTTTTTAGTCTTCCTTTAATTATATGTGCTATTGCATATACAAATTTGGCTTTATACTTACATAATTAGTGCCAAAGCGTAACCTAATAATTTGTATAGTGGCGAAGTCTGTCTTGTTTCAAGGATCAAGGAAATTTTCTGTAACTGGAACACCGCGGTTTTCCGCGACTGTACTTATATTTTGTTTTAATTTTTTACACGACCTTTGTTATCAAATATTGTTCATGAGAAAATAATGCATAAAGTTGTATGTTCCGTCCTTATATTTACCATATTTATTTTACCATTTGCGTCATATTTATATTGAAGAAACTAAGAGGGAAAATTATATTATATGAAAATGTTGAACAAAAGAAAAGGAAACATTTATGGCTTGAAATTAAAAAAATGTTGAATAAATACTTGAAGCAATTGCAATATCCGTATGATTTGTCTGCTTCTCTTTTTTGTGATACTAAAATATACTTGGCTTTTCAAAAAATGTTGGTTATAAATTTTTGCTTTGTGCATACGTATTACCATTTTTAGTATTATTAGTTTTTATATTTTATTTTGGATGTTATACAATTTGTATTTTTTCCTTTTTCTTTGTTTTTTTTTAATGACAATTTTGTCAAGTTTAATGGTTTAAGGAACATCCTCAAAGTACAGTTATATTTTGCAAAGTTATGTGAATAAGATTTTAACATGTTATTAAAAAAGAATGATCGATTTAATTTTCTTTACTGCTAGCAATTTTGCTACATGTTTTTTTAACTAACAAATAGTGTTAAGGAATCTCGTATACAAATATTATTTACCCTCGCAAAGGTGAATATTTATATAGAAATAAGTTGCTTATTCGCATTTATAATCGATTTTTTATTTTGTTTTATAATGATGTTTATCATTTTAACAAAAATATATTATGAAGTTATGTAAAAATTGAGTTTTAATTTGTCAGTCCCAAATTCATGTACAGTGTGATTCAAAATAAAGAAAAGGTTGATGTCAGTTTGTTGTGTGGACAACCACGGTAAGTAATTTGTGCTACAATTTGTAAATATTTATTTTTTTGTTGGTTAAAAATGTTTTTTTTACTATTTTGTATCGCATATGCGCAGTCTTAAGGTAAGTATGGAAAAGGGCGCCGTGTCAGCAGTGATTAGATACAGGCTGATCATTGATTACACATGTAAATTACTATTAACATTTATTTATTAAAAATAAGACCAAATTGATTTTTCCAAAATATATCCCATATATATTTCATAATTACTATATTTTGTTGTGTAAATATGTTTTCAACATTCATGCAATTCGAAGACGAACGAAGACAAATTCATTTTGTTGTAAACATTAATTGATTTTTTTTAGTGTTTCACTATAAAAGTTTTTTATTTCTGTCAGAAAGTTTTTCAACGATTTTTTGTATTAGCATACAATTGAGTAAAGTGAAATGGGTATACCTGATACTTGAATAAAATATATAAAGTTTGGCGAAACTATTTCATTTTAATGTGAAAATAAGTTGCTATACATTGCTAAAGTATGAATGGATTACAACTTGCCGTTCCCTAAGTTTTATTCGTACAATTCCACATGGAACATTTAGAAGATGACCGTTTGAGAAACACCGAGACTTTGACGTGATGATCAATGAACGTACACTTACTCCGTGGCATGTTTGACGAAACGAACAATTTCACAGAATCGACATTTGATAATTTGAACCGATAAACAATTTCCAAGACAACGTCGCCCGAACTTATCTCTATCCCTGTATCAGAGCCGTAGGGTGTCGTGTGTCGCGTCGTGTGGTGCGGCGGCGGCTGCGGGCGGCTCGCGGCGCTCCCCGTGCCCGGCGGCGGTGGCTGTGGCGCGTCCGTCGGCACCGCGGAGTGAGGTCTGATGCGGCTCGCTCCGTCCCTCTCAGTACTGGCTGCAGCGCGCGCGGAATCCGCCCTGGTACGACGAGTCTTGCGACAGCAGCCCGTCCGGCTGCGAGGGGCAGTCCGGTGCCGTCGACTCCTGGCTGAAGTCCGGCTGCGAGGCGCCCTGCGACAGCGACAGCGGCGGCTGCTGCGACAGCGGTTCCTGCGAGAGGCGCGGCGGGCGACGGCGAGCGCGCAGGGCGGCGCGCTGCGGGAACGCGGCGGGGGGCACGCCCGCGTGTGCGGACGCCGGCGCGCCCACGTACGCGAGCGGGTCCCGCGGCGGCCGCGCGCGGTCGTACACCGAGCCCGGCACCATCGCCTCGCGCGCGTCGAACATCGACGTAGACATGAAGTGCGACCCCGGGTTCTGCGAGTTGACGAGTTTTTTCGGCTTGGCGAACTGGATCGCGGACTCCTTGAGGTTGGAGAGCGGTCCCTCTGTGAGCACGCGCCGCTCCTTGTAAAATGCGAGCAAGTGATTCCACAGGGGCTGCTTGCTCAGCACCTTCGGGTTGCCGACCACGATGAGGCCGTACTTGGCGCGAGTCAACGCCACGTTCAAACGCCTCGGGTCGCTCAGGAAACCTATGCCCTGGTGTTCGTTGGAGCGGACGCACGACATAATAATGATGTCCTTTTCTCGGCCCTGGAACGCGTCGACGCTGGCCACTTCTATCTCCTGGTAGAGCTTGGCGTGCAGGCTGCCCTGGTACTGCATGTGCTGCACGAGGTACGAGCGCTGGCCCTCGTAGGGGGTGATGATGCCGATCTGCTCAGGGCGGACGCCAGCCTTGAGGAATCGCGTCGTCAACTTCTCGACGTTGGCGGCCTCGGTGCGGTTCAGGTACGAGGTGCCGGAGCCGGCGATCTCCTCCTGTCCCTGCGTCACGTAGAAGAACATGGGCCGGTCCGGTCGCGGCCACGGGAAATCTATTTTATGTAGTCTTCTATCCTCTGCACTCACGCCGTTCTGAAGGGAGCCCTCGTAGAAGAAGTCGGAGGGGAAGCGTGACAGCTCCGGGTGCATGCGATACTGTACTTCCAGGCGGAAGGGACGGATGCCGAGCACGACGAGACGCTCGAAGAGACTCTGGCTGAGACCGGCCTTGGCCGCCTTCTTGCACATGACGACGGGGCCTAGCTGGCAGTGGTCCCCCACGAGAATGAGCTGCCGGGCGCCGAGCACGACGGGCACCATGCACTCGGGCTCGGTCGACTGCATGCCCTCGTCAATGAGGATAGACTGGAAGCGCATGCGGGCTACTCGCGGGTCTCCGGCGCCCACGCAGGTGGTGCAGACGACGTCCGCGGCGTCCAGCAGGCGCCTCTCGGCGGCGCGGCGCAGGGCGCGGTAGCGGCGCTCGTCGCCGGCTGCCAGTTCGCCCGCCTCCTCCTTCAGACGGGTAAGCTTCCGCAGCTCCGAGTCCGCGGAACCGAGTGCGCGCGCCTGCTCGTGCAGTGCCAGGAACGATACCGAGGACTCCATGGCCTCGCGCGACTTTGCGCACAGCCGCACCACCTTGAGTCCGGTTCGGTGTATCTTCTCGGTGAGCTGGTCGACTGCGGTGTTGGAGGGCGCGCACACGAGCACCGGTCCGCCGCTCTGCCGTACCAGCTGGTACACGATCGTAGCTGACGTCACAGTTTTTCCAGTGCCCGGAGGACCTTGGATCAGCGATAGAGGGCGTTGAAGCGCATGTTTCACAGCATACACCTGTGGTATAAGTTAATAGATAACAATTTTTACACAAATTATGGATACAACATTGTCCAATGTCTTGTATAGTTTGGTACCTGTGATCGATTTAGGTCAGGCAGGTTGGGTGCGCTGAAGTGCTTGGGCAGGTGCACGCGGAACAGCACCTCCTCCACCTCGTGGCCGAGCAGCCGGCGGTAGATGTAGCCCGACACAGACGACTCGTCCACCGCGAACTTGCGGAGAGCGAGCTGCATTCTATTGTTAATGTGAAAAAAACAGAGATAACGTTTCAAATATCATGGCGAATAGGAACTTCGTACGAGGTGTGGGAGCGTTAAGTGATGTGGGGGAAAAAATATGACCTTATACCGCGAAATAGATTAAAAAGTTCTATACAATAATGGACTGTCGTATGTATTAATATCAGACAAATAAAAGATGTGAGAAGATTTATACAAACCGATCAAATGAAGTACTCTTCCAGATGAAATCGACCACAAAGTTGGATGTACATTCCAAAGGCGCTCCAGCACCGCTCTTCAGTTCCAGACCCACGTCATCACCATAGTTATCGGGCACCTTGATGACATGGCCCACACCTGACCAAGTCTTATGCAATTCACCAACATATCTGTAATAGTAACATTAATATAAAACAGTTGAAGAGTTTATCTGTGCTAATTTGTAAGATTATCAAAAAATATATTATTTTTTTCGCATTAAAAATCCCAATTATAAGATACTAGTTGTCGCCCGCAACTTCGTTCATCTGCATTAAAAAAAACTTAATAAGTAGCCTGTGTTCTCCCAGACTATGTATGTTCTACTTCTGTGCCAAATTTCACCTGGATCCGATGAGCCATTCTAGAGATACCTTCAAACAAACATCCATCCATCTAAACATTCATATTTATAATATAAGTAAGATAAGATTTAATATAACTTTTGTAACTTAAATATATTTTATTAACTAATTAAATAAAATCAATTGCATAGACACCTTAATCGGAGTTCATCTCCATGCATTAGTTTCATGTCGCTGTCAGTTTTAGCGAGAGTGAAGAAGGCAATTGTCTTCTTATTTAAACCAACGTCCCAACGTACTTCGATGTTCTCCTGTGTCTGCGACTCCTTCAGCCTTTTGTCATAATCTGCTTCTAATTTTACAAGTGGTCCAAATATATTTTGGTACTGGTAACCATCTTCATATCTGAAATTGTACCATAAATTTCAGTAACAAGAGCAAGTTAAAATATTTCAAGCCTCTTACTTCTTATATCTTTGTTTCTCTCTAATAACCACACATGTGGCTATTAGAGAGAAACATAGAGCAGATAATCATATGGTTAAAAGTAAAGTAATCTTGGTTATGGAGACCAAAGAGTATATTTCCATAGAACGTCACAAAGAATAAAGGACTTATTTTGACTGTACTTAATAAAAATTCAATGCATGTATTTTTTTTTAGAATAAACAAATTAAAATTTATATTTTACCGTAGCAGAACTTGATGGGGTTCCTCATCTACTCCAGGTTTCTCCAGATCTTGAAATGTCGCATCGACATTGTCTCGCCAAAGTTCCTCCAGACGACCGATTTGTTGTGGTGACACCTAAAAAATTTATTATTCATCAGCAATTTCCTTAGATTCTTCATTTAAAGATTGTTTAAAGTAATAAATATATTATTTTTGATTACAGTTAATTTGACTTACTTGACGTGCTCTCATTTGCTCTGTTTCAGAGGGGACTTTTACCAGCCATGATAAAAAGGCACGGTCAGCTGAAAAAAGGTTTAATTTAAAAATCATAAAATCTTTAGTAGATAAATAATTTGTAATATAAAGGCTTACAAATCAATGGTTTCCATTGTTCTTGATCCCAGTTCATGTCTTTCAATGAACTTTGAGCTGCACATGGTTGGCTAAAAATAAAAAAAATATTTTTTAATTATCAAGACAAACATGTCTGCTTTTAATAAGTCTGTGCTTACAGCATTAAAGGTTAAATACTATTTAGATTTGTATTAATTCCTCATTTCCATGTAATTCAACTTTACCCATGTGATTTTATAATTATTATTATGAAATATAATTTGCCATTATGCAACAAATTAGGCAGTAACATGAAGACAAGCTGTATGACATCAAAAGCAGTAAAAAACAGATTCTTTTATTACCATATTATATTTGTCTTTTAGTTACACTATCATACATACTATTTGGGGAATCACCACTATTTTTATCTTTAAAGTTTGCTTACTTTTCTATCTAATTATTTTACAAATACACTTACCGACATAGCAATACCACAACAGAGTCCGCTTTAGCAGGTATGAAACCCAGAACAAATACATTCCTCGCTCCACATGAGTAGCACTCGAGTAATGTTTCACCGAGAGGCCCATCTCTATGCAATGCTGCTTCCTTATGCTTAGCTCTCACTAGATGATTGATGATATGAGAACCAGATGTATTACCACGTCCGTTACAAAACCTAAGAAATTTATATATCATTAAATTTTTTATTTATATTTTTATTACAGTCAGAGAAGGCAAACCTAGTTAAATACAATATATTAAAAGTATAAATACATTATTGTGGAATTTAAACTGATATAAAATAGTGTAACTCCGATTGCAAAATCCCATGGATCAAGCAAATATCCTATTTATTTATTAACATGTAGTATTGTGGATGTAACCATTCACATCTATATAAAAAAACACATGTGACACACAAAATGAGATATTTCAGTACTGATAGTACTGTTTGTCTTCAAAATAAAGCATTGTTTTGTTATATTTGTGTTACTTACCACTTGTTACATATGTTACACATTACCACAGTGGCGGGATCGTGGATACCACAGTATTTGCATGCGTGTTCTGGTAGCTCCTTACTTCCATACAAAGCCTCATCTTCCTCCTCAAATTGCAATTCTGCAATAGTATTAGTAACGCCAGTGATCTTAGAACTTAAATCTTGACGTCCTAATCCATTCACCTGGAATAAAATAATAAATTAGAAGTAACGTAACAGGTGACATTAAGGTTATGGAATTCATAAGACCACTGAAGATTTACCTGGTTCGATGAACTTAAACCATGATCGTGTTGTGACGCCTGAGTTTGGCTTTGTGATGGTAATGTAAAATCCGTGAATTCAAATTCGGACCCCTGCGTATCAGCACCAATAAGATCCGCTTCCTCCGTGTCCAAAAACGTTAGAGTTTGAGAACTCGGTCCGTATGCGTCGACACTCATTTTTACAAGATATGTTCAGGATGGTGAAATGAATAAAAATGTCTCAAAAAGGAATATGATGCACAATTAAACCAACATCCCATAACAACTACGTAATAGTCAAACGTGTTGCAGAGGATGATGTTGATGATCAAGAAAGTTCGCCATATTAGAAGTAATATAACATATGGTTTGTTTCCGTCAGCAAACTCAGTAGTGATTGGCCATTCAGAACGAGTGAAATTAAAGCCACCAATAGAATTGTTAGAATTCAATTTTCAGCCAATGACATTAGTTGATGACGAATAACCATAGACTAAATTAAACTTTCAAAAAAAGGTATGTCAAAGAGTTACAACCATTTATTGCGACAAATTTATATTATATACTCTTTGGTATGTATGTTATAGTTTGACCTCGACTCACCTCGACTACTTGTAATAACGTAGCTATTTAAGATTTAGGCTTAAATAATTTTAACCAGAACAGCAATGATCATGAGGTGTCTTTCAATATATATTCTTTCCCGTAATGTCACCGAAATACAGTTATTACAGCCTGGTTTATATAATACCAGTACAGTAGCGCTAAACACTAACTGGCGCCAGTGAGCCAATATAGTCTTTGCAAGGTCAACGCTTCTGCCCTACTGTCAGCATAATATAAACCAGGCAAATTGTTCCTGGCTCCAATTGAATGGCCACTAATCACCGGAGACTATAGATGGTCTATTCACAGGATAAACATTCTTTACTTGAAGGTTTTTCAGTTCCATAGGTTTAAAAGTGAAAGATCTGCTGAAAAATATTGATTCCACCTGAAAGTCATTTATCGTTATTTTTTCCAGATATCGTTAAGCATAGTGGCAAAAATTTATCCTTATTTTTCATTTGTCAGCGATAAATTACAATAATCGTAGCATATTTAATAACGTTATTAGGTAAATAACTGTTAGTGTTATTTAAACTGTGGTTAAACCTTGAAGATACAGTTCATTCTAATAAAGAGAAAGTCTTCTTTTTACTTAAAAAGACCATTAAGCTGAAAAACAGCGAATATTGAACATAATTACATATTTTAGCCATTTACCGCGTTTACTGGAACAAGAGTTCTCCCTAGTCGACTATGTCTATTTTCGGCTTGTCAGCAAAGTTGGCACTAGTTTCTGTAAATATAGGTCGTATCGACAGAGTAATGACATTGAATTAGTTGTTAGATTAATAGGTTTAATGTTGCTATTGATCGAATTTATTTGAAACTTGGCAAACGGATACTAACAGCGGTAGAGCCCGTAATACCTTTTTTTCGCGAATAGGTCGACTCGACAGGCAAAACTGGCGTGAAGTGGAAGCATTTTTGTGTGTCTTCTAAGGAGTATGTTTCTGTGCGTCGCCAATTACCTATCTGCAAATTGACCTAAAGGTCTATATTACCAGGTCATAAAATTAAAAACAAAATAAGCATCTGCAAATGCAAATGTCTATGGGCACCGATCACTTCGACCTTTTGCTATAAAAAAAATTAGAGACTGGGTGTCGTAGTTACCCTTATTTATATTGAATCCGAATAATAGGTAGTGTATGTAATGAGTCTTGTAAAAGTTACATCTTTGAAAGAGTAAATTGTTAAATCTTTTTATATATATAGTGAAATTAAAGTTATTTTCATAGGCCATTGTTAACATTTTCAATTTTCTCTTTTTAAATAAAACTACTATAACAACATAATGGCATACTTTGTGAATATTCACAACTTTCACTGTAGTTTGCTTTTTATAAATGTTAGTACAGACACAAAAAGTTACTGCCGTCGAAAATCTGTCGTAAATTCTCGTGTAACAATGTTAGTTACTACACTCCTTCTAAACGGCGTGACTGATTCTCATGAAATTTCATAAACATGTTCAGGAGGGTTTGGGAATCTATTTTTTGATCCCGCATGGACGCAGTCGCGGACGACAGCTAGTATTATATGGATTTTTATTTATACTTCAAGATAGATTACGAATATAAAGACGTATAACGTGATACGTCACTAATGATCCAATGGCTCCTACGTAGACTATCTAGTAGAGATGTGTATGTGCAGCAATCCGTTCGCTATTTTGGCGAATTCAGGTAGTTGCTTAACAAATCCATGTTCATGCATGGATATCTCTTAAAAATAATGTTGCACAACTAACGTATTCATACACATATTAGTTTCAGCTAAATCTTACTAATATTACTATAGCGCTTGTTTGGATGGAAGAATGGATGTTTGTTAGAAGGTATCTCAAATACGGCTGCTAAAATTTGGCATAGATGTAGAACATAGTCTCGACTAGGCTACTAATAAAGTTTTTCTCCGCGGACGGAGTCGGGCGACAGCTAGTAAGTGATAATTTCGTACTTATTACATACTGAACGCTATGCGATGATGCTGCGTGTTGCAATGGGAACCACAGAATCGTGTAATGTTATAAAACTGATAGATACAGTGCATTTTAGTCTAATTTAGACAGCGGCCGGTTTGGCGCTGCGCCAGTTCAACATAGATTTATCACTACGAACATAAATAGGAACATCATCAAAGAATTCAGAAGTGTTCGCTCTTCTGCGAGTTTCCGCGAATAAATATTACAAAAAAATATGTCTTCTTGAGATTACATCAATATCTTCTCGTATTAACTAACGATGAATGTGGTTTACATACTTATTACCGTGGGTTTCGGCAGCCAATATCTCTGTATAAAACATATCGTCATCGCTTTTTTAAACAGGGATTTTGGTCTCAGAAACTCACGGGCAATTGGCTCGTCAGAAAAAGTATTATACTATTTACATTAAAGGTTAAAATTAATTTCGCAGTAAAAATAAAGTGTTATACAAAGAAATTATACAATTTTATTATAGACCAAGTTTTAAGAACTTTAACGAAGAGTTAAAAAAGATATTTATATAATTGTGACATTGTGTACCGACATTTTATTATTTCATGCAAAATTTTAGGTTATAAAATAAAAAAAGAAGAAAGTCGTTAACAGTAATTGGCATACTACTAACTGTTTCAATTAACAAAGGGTTAGTTAACTTGTCAGGGTTAAAATCATAAAGTAGTATCAGATTTCGTTGGAAGAGACTCACAAATCGTCCACTAATTGATGTAAATGCCTCGACTGATGAGAACGATGCCCTTTGCCATATGTTTTGTTTGTACTTTTTAAAAATAATCATTGATGTGCTATATGAGTGTAAGTAGGTTAAATAATTTAAATTGACAATGCTTATGTTAAACCGTTGGTTTCTGATATCAAAATCTCTGTATAAAACATATCGTCATCCCTATCATTATGTTTGCTAAAAGAGAGATACAATATGTTTTAAACAGGAGTTTAGTAAGAACATCATAATATGGATATGAAATTAAATAAAATCGTGTAATTTCGGCACACAGATCAGTTCCACACTTTCGTCGATAGTAGAGTTGACTGTTGTATATATATCTTTCAATTTTTTTTGTAACACTCAAACTTTGGAACTTAATTATGGATTTATTTCTTTTTGAAGATCTTCAAGTCAATACTTATTTGACCGTGAGTTTTTGATACTAAAATCCCCGTTTAAAATATATTTATCTCTGTCTTATTCAATTATAACGACAGGGATGAAGATATGTTTTATTGCTATGTTGACAGAAACCTACGTTTAGTCCTTCAAATAAGATGGTAAAGTCCGATTATCTTCTGAACTACATCTAAGATATAATAGAGTTTTAAGGAACAAAAGGAAGTTTAAGAATGAAAGGGAAATAATAGTATTATTTAATTAAAGCGATGTCTAGTGGCGAAGTGTTCATGACAATTGTAAGCAATTGGTAGGTGGCGCCACATGTGATGTCATCATTGCTGGCATGAATAGACAAACTGTGATTAAAAAGGTAAAAAAAAATTATTTCAGTTAAAAATCTTAGCAAGAATCGTGATCCTAAAGAGGAGAGTAAATAGAATACATTTTGCAATTTTATTTGTTCCTGCTTTTTATAAAATTTAAATTGTTTCTTTTGCATATTTGGTCTAATAATTTCGTTGTATATATTCGGACATTTTTTAAACTTTTTTATGAGATAAAGATAGGTACCATGGAAATCTAACTAATATTATAAAAGCGAATCTCTGGAACGGCTTCATAGACCTCGCTAAAATTTGGCATAGATGAGAACATAATCTGGAAGAACACATAGGCTACTTAATAAGCTTTTTTAATTTCGTTCGGACGGAGTCGCGGGCAACAGTTCAGAACGAACATTTAAAGAACGCATTTAATTTTAAGTAGCAAATAAATTGCCTACGTATTTAACGTGCGTCCAAATAAAGGAGTTAATTTTAAATTCATAGGTTTTTACTGTATTGAATTACGAGAATATTTATAAAACAATCATTACACTGCCATCATAATTGATAAAAAAGTTAACCTTTATCTGTGAATATTTTTATTTGATTTCTTTTTAATTTAAGGAAACGATTGGTAATGGATTCATCATAAAAATATTTCTCTTGATTTTTGTTTAAGATAATGTAACTGTGTAAATAAACCTCCTTGTAAGCTTTATACATGAAGATCAAGAACTTACAATTTAACTTCCGTGTTAATGCGCAATAGTTTATCTGTGGTATCGATTTTGACAGATCACAATTATCAACATTGCCGGATACATTTTTAAAAAACGAGTTTTAGCGAAAAATGTGCAATTTGTTTATGAGTAAGATGTGTTTTTATATAAGTTTGACTATTTTGCAGTGCGATTTTTTTTTACTTTAATTGCTACTCTCGGTAAGTATTTGATATCTAAATTCTTTCTTCCTATTTCCAATCCTTAATCAAAGGGTAATTAAAAGTAAAATAATATATACGGGAGATGGCTTTCAAAGATTTTCTATAAAAGTCTATTTTTCTTGATTCAGCGTCATCTAAACCCAGTCTTGGACTTGGAGTTCACTTAGGCCTTTTTCCTTAGGAATCTTGGGACGGCTAATTCAAAATTAACTAAGGACTTATTATTTTTATAATCTGCGGTTTGGGTGGCATTACTATTAATTTACATGCTCATCTTACTAAATTAACTTTTTTCATCTACCTGCATGTTTGAGAAGGTCAGTGATAAATGATTTTGAAGGTAAAATATTGTTAGATGTTAAGTCGAATCATATTTTTTTCTGCCTGTCCTTCTTAGTACTAGCGCGTAGTCTCCAGAAATTCTTTCGGAGATTTAACTTCGTGACTGGTTTCAAAATAATAAGTATAATAAGAGTTGTGTTTTTAGGGACCCACATAGGCATTCATTGCAAGGGTTCCAGCATGACGGAATTCTGGAAGAATGCAATAAATGCATAAGCCATAAACAAAATTGCAAGAATGTAGTTAAGTGGCCAAATGAAGTAGACTGCAGCTTTAACCTTGGGTAAGTCTTTTTTTGTATCCAGAATTATATATACAACATTTTGAAAAGTTGAAATCAAAATAATGTGCTGAAATTATTATTTTGTACTTATTGTTCTGCATGACCATAGACATTAAAGTAATGTTAAATATTTTTATTCTTTAGGCGTCATGATGGCAATAAAAATTCCTCGCTCCATACGGTTTTATTTTGTTACGTTCAAAAAGTTTAAGATCAGACGAACGATCGGATACGAAAACCTTCTCGGAATCGAACCGACTCTGAATTAACTTTAGTAATCGCGCCCGGACAATGTTTTATTGTAATTCCAAACCGTATGCGGACTAAGGCCATGCACTTACGATACGGTGTATTTCCAAAACTCCAAGAGACGGGAGCTTTATTCGGACTGCAGCTGCGATTCACTCCCGCAACAGCAGCACACGTTTGTCGGGATCCAGTCGGGCGCAAACCACAAATCGAAAATGGAATTAATATGAAATAAATGGAATTTCTAGTTTTACATACAGTTGACGTAAGCAACGAAAAGAGTTACCTATTTTAAAATACGTAACTGTTTTCATCATATGGGTTTAAATGTAAATTACGGTAGCTCCGTCACTACCGCATCGAACTGGTAAAAACGGATCGTGAGTGTTTGTCCTTATGCGATAAATTGATTACAGTTAGTGTTGTCGATGAGTAATAAACACGTACAGGAATAATTAGACATTCGTGGTACAGTTGGCGCCATATCTCATCTACATTCAAATCATATGTTAACATTCTTGTGGACAGCCGAGTACGTTAATATCTAGACGACCTCTAATATCTAGGGAAATATTTCATTGATTTCTTATTACTTACATATTAAAATATTGTATATTATACGTTAGGTCTAATACATTGAATATTTTATACCACACTAGCTGTTGCCCGCTACTTCGTCCGCGCATTAAAAGAAACTTAATTAGTAGATACGTCTATGTCAAATTTCAGCGAGATTCATGCAGCCATTCTGGAGATATCTTCTAA